TTCTAATTATAGCCAAAACATTGCATGTTTGTGTTGAGTTCATGGAAAAGTCGTAGATTCAAAAGACAGGAAATAAAAGTGGATGATAGTGGATCCATTAATGAGAGTGTTCCCTCGCTCTATAGTTCTAAATGAGAAACATGCTTTCATACGTAACCTTGGGAGATATTAAGACAAAAGTGCATTTTGTTTCCCTGTCTGGAGCTGGAGAAAGCAAAACAATATCAGTAGTTATCTGGTAACTGTGACATGCATGCCTTTAGTTTTCCCAGGCTGGCGTCACTAGAGTTAGTCTGGAAAAAATCCAAAAAGGGAAGCTGAGTTTCATTCAGTAATCCACTGAAATAATGACCTTATTATCTGGTTATTATGATGTAATTATTTTAAAAATACTTTAAAGGCCTCATTTTCAGCCTCTTGTCATTATGTCATTCAGATTTTTGAGCTGCAAAAGGCTCCCCTCGACTTACAAGTGCACCTAGGTCTCACTCAACTCAGTGACGCCAGCAGCTGGGACTGCAGCAGGCCTGGCAAGCCCTGGGTGCCGATGCTCTGGTTCCATGCACGTCGGAAAGCCTGCGTGCAATGTCCTCTCAGAGACAGAACCACAGTGTTAGAGATCTTTGATAAAGGAAAACTCCAGTCAATTTCCACTACCAGGTGATGATTCCTTGAACACAGAAATTAAATAAAACTGAGAGAATAGATACAGGAAAAAAAAAATTGAAAATTAAAAACTACGCCGTTCCATGTTCATGACATTTTTAATACTCATCTTGCTAATATGCAGAACAAGGACTATTGAATTTCCATTCATTAGCAGCCAACAAGATATGAATGAGTATTAACTTCAAACAGAAACTTGATTTATAACAACATCAAGTTGTGCACTTAAAAAAATAATTACAAATCATTTTAAAAAGGAAGAGTAACAGTGGAAGCAGTAATGAATATAAAACATGACTGATTAGGCTTAAAACATAGCTTCAAGTATTCTATGGCATTTCCTTAGACATTTGTCTCATCTGTTTGTGCAATACCCATCTTTGCATAGTAAAGAAAAATTGGTTAAACTCCAGCCTTAAGTAATCTTTTTCTTTGAACATGCACCTATACAGCTGTTAATTTGTCTAGCAGACTCCTCTTTTAGGAGCATCAGATCAAATCATAAGATCATGCAGCAAACTGGAATGAGCTATACAGTTACCACAGTTTCTTGTCCAGCTGAGTAGGTAAATAATGGAGCAAACGTAGAGTGGATGAAATGGAGGCGGAGTCAACCCAGTCTTCTTTTGATGACACTTTGCAATGAACAAAGTAACACTAAATGGATATGCACTTCCCAAAGCACAGCAAAGGTGGGATGTAGAAAATCAACACCTACCAAACCCAATTTTTTATCTACTGCCACGGGAAGCACTTCATCCAGTACCTACTCTGAGCTGCGTTGTCACTTGTGTTGTGCACACACAGGGCAGAAAGCGAATGTGTTCTTCCACATACACACAATGGCTGATGAGTGAAGCATAAATTCAGTCAAGAAATTGTAAGTCCTATGAAAGGGCTGGTGTAAATAAAAAAGTTACTCCAGCACTGAACATATGTTCATAGTAGTTGGGGACCACTGTGGTCTGATTTCAAACATCACATCACACACTAACAATGTTGTTTGTGAAATGCTTCTTCAAGGTTTATTACACAGGTAGTTTATGTATATCCAGTTGATTTTACTTATTTTTATTTTTGGTAACCACTAGTGTTTCTGTTGTGGGTTATGCTTGTTTTGGAAGCAGAACCCTAACAAAGTTGGATGTTATGAAGCAAAGCACTTTTAGATAACCATAACATAGTTGCAAGTATTTTTGCCATCAAAGGATTGTCACTAATGTAATTTTGCTTGAAACCAGGCAGGAATTTTTCAGAATAAGATTTATAATTCATAGAAATGTCAACTACCTGTGTGCAGCACCTTTAACTCATAATGTAGTTGTGTTAATGTGATTATGTTAAAGCTGATTAAAAATATTTAATAATAACTGTCAAGCAAAACAATATATTGTAGCTCTCTTGTGAGAATGTTGAATTGAACATTATCATAATAAGAAAAATAACTGAAATGATGTTTTCTAAGTCACAGGAAATCTGCAGCATTTTCTTAATGTTTTGGCTCTTAAAGCTAACTTGGGTAATGGATTTCACTGAACAAAGATGGAATGTGTAATGTAACTGGGCTTCTGTTGTTACTAATATTCAACCTTTAAATTAAAGCCAAAATTACAAAAGTTTTTACTTGTGATTATCAGACGCAGCAATTAAATTTTCAGGTCACTTCACTTACACAAACCAAATTACCTGTTTTAAGCCAAGATGCAAAGGATGAGCCAGACTGGACAGCTCTATACTTTTAGGGAGGCCTAGACATCTGCCCATACCTTTCTCAAGGCAGATGCAGCCAGGCTAGCCTGGTTCCTGGGGCACGGTACTGCTGCCCAGGACTTCTCTGCAAAAACTGCTCCTAGGCAAGGTGTATCTAAAAGTAATAACAACACACAACCCCCTGAAATTACATGGCATTCTGTACATGTTGTGATGGTAGCTGGCTATCAGTAGCCAAGGGTCAAAGTATTAATCTTGCATTAAACTTTGAAAAGTGAGATGCATCAAAGAGATACAGGGAGTGAGTTAGAAATGTCAGTCACCTTTGCAAGTTGCTTTGAGTGGATGGGCAGAAGGCAAGAGAAGAATAACTCATTCCAAGCTTTAACATTTTGTGAGTATTTTAAGGCTTATTTAAGTTTTTATTTTACAGGAAAAAAACTAGCTACACTTAAAAAAAAAAAAAAGAACTTGGCACTTCTGTGATTATCTTGAGAGGGTGTTACTTATCCTATAATGGAAAAGTCTGCATAAGAGCCAAAAAAAGTAATCCAGACTTATAGTCAATACATAGATATGCATTTATACATTTTAATTGTTTTTGGTTTCAAGCATACAAACTTTAGATCACATCTGTTTGGTGTCAGAACTCCCTGCATCTGCATGCTATTACTGCCTTTTTTTGAGCAAGCCCAGAACATCCGCTGTACAACATGCTACAGAAAAAAAGGGGAGGAAAAAAAACCCAAAACCAAACCCAACATCAAAAATAGATTTACATAAAGAATAGAACCTTTTTATATGGAAATTCTTTTCTCTTTTATATATATATATTTATATATAATCTGTGAAAATGATACATCAAAATCTTATTTCCATATTTACACTTTTTCTTTCTTGGAAAAATTCCATCCATCATTCACTAGCTTCCATAACTAACAGACTCCTGACCTAGGAGACCAAAACAAGGTGGACAGCGAGCTCACGGAGCAGGGAACCCTCAAGTCCAGCAGCAGAATGCACTGCGTGGCTGGAAAAGCTATCGAAGCCAGGCACTGGCTTCCCAGTGATTTGTATTTATTGGGCTGCAGATTTTGCTTGGGGTCAGCTTGCTAACTTGGTTGTTTGTATGTGAGCCATGCAGGTTACCCTTTCAAAATTTAGCTCCTCATGCCACTGGAGTTTGATAAGAAAAAGGAAGTCATGCGAACTCAAGTGAAGTTAAGAGTGCCAGCAGGCTGGGAAAAGAATCTTCTGCTATTCCATTACTTTGGAGCAGTTCTCTTATTGCACTTGGTCTGTGTGTCTCCTTTGTTTGAGGAAAAAAAAACACCTGATTTTGAAACAGTTTGCTTGTAACACTTGTCAGTTAATGTTAACAAGAGAAAGGTGAATAGAGGAAGTATTTCCAACTTATCTCCAAAAAGGACAGTGTTCTACCAACTCAAATTCCAATATCCCAATATTGTGTTTAGTTACTGTTTCTCAAGTTCTTCCTTACAGATTTCGTTCCTGTGCAGCTACAGTGAAGATATCATACCCAAAATCCAGTAGTGCAAGAAACAGCTTTTTGAATGGCATCTCTTCAGATAGGGCCTTGTTGACTTGGATCGAACCTTCGTTTTTTGACATTTCTTCCAGATTGCATCAAAAGGAGATGAGAACAGAAAAATGCAAGACATTAGTTAGATATAGCAAGAACAAAGTCATTGCTAAGGTCATAGTAAAGTAAAAGGCTCACACTGAGACAGTTTAACCAGTAACTTTTCCAAGGGCTAACTATTTAAGGAATTTAGTTGCATGCTTTCTGTAGCATAATATCAAGTACTGGTTTCCTTATGCAGTTTAAAGATCATACTGGCATACAGAATACAGTTATTTCCGTAGTACTTTAAGTGGTGCTCTAAATTGGTAGTAACTTTCAGCTCCCAGTAGCACATGTTTCCCCAAGCCAGGAATGTACAACTGAAAAGAATGAGTCATAAGTGCCAGGACTGGAAATACGTCAGTCCATGGAGGCTTGAGTTCTCAGAGCAAGTGCCCATCTCTGGCTACACCAGAATTTAGTTTATGTAACCCAGTGTGACAAAAAAGTGAGTGCCTCTGTGAGCTCTTACCACACTATTGACCATAAGTGAATCTTAGTAAGGTGCAAAATATAGCAGAGACATTGCATTCGAAGGAGACTGGACAGTTTTGTTAATTGTGTTATTAGAATTGAATGTTAACAGCGAACAGCAAGCTGGTGATATCCAATCTCCTGCGATGTTGATGTCCTATGTCAAACAGCAAGACATAAGGAAGCAACAACAAAAGTTGGGTGCAACCTCCCCAGTATCTGGCTTTATGTGGGGCATCAAGCAAGGGGCTCATGCATTTAGTTTTAACATTGGGCATACACACCACTACCGCCACCAACCCAACATGCAAAAAATACAGAACAGGAATTCATAAATTCCCTGAAGATACAGACCAACCCCTGGATTTTCTATTTTCTGCAGCCCTGCTAACCACTACCATTGCTACAGTATTTATAAATATTCTATACACAAGGTTTGTCTGGTGGTTTTAGAGACTAATGGATGTATGCAAAGACAACTTATTTTTGAAAAGTCTTCCAGAGGCTAGCGGTCCTTGGCAATCCTTTGTTTTGTTTTTTATTCCTTGGACAACTGTGCCTAGATTTTTGTAAGATGCTTGTTTAAATAACTGGGGGTTTCTGAAAGAAGATCACTGTATTCATCTTCCAGTCATTTCCCCTCCAGGAGAACTGTACTAATGCTCTTTTTTAATGAGGCTGACGTTACTTCAATATCTCAATCCCTCCCCCTGTGTACTACAGGTAAATGTGAGATGACCAAATTTTTTTTTTCAGCCCAACTTGCAGAACTGCATGGTAGGAAGTATGAATATAATAGAACTTGGTTGAATGTGAGTTAAAGACTGCTGTGTGTCTGCTCATCCTGCCAGTTTCAATGGGAAAAAAATGTGTCTGCTTCTCTTCCCCCTCCCCCCTTTTTAAAAGCTGTCTAGCGTACTTGAATTCAAGCACTACCCATCAACAACTAACTAGTCAGTCCTTTTAAATCAACAGCATATGTGAAAAATCCAGATGATGTAACTTGTCCTCTAACTCTACGGAAAGTATCATATTCCAGTTTGCTTGAAGAGGATAGATGCTGAATTATGTTCTGTTACCTGAGCTTATTTTAGTTGAAGAAATGGACTTTATAAGTCTTAGAACAAGGTACAGAAGACAGATGCTATGCTAGTTTCCCAGTACAACTCTGTAACAAAACTCTTTGTCTTTTATCCTATCAATTCTTTTCTAATCTCACATCTCCACAAGTGCAGTATTCCAGCACAAACCTCGCCATGCATTCTGTGTCCAAACAATATATTTACTCATTTCCTAGTTTTATTCTGCAGAAATACAGAGTTTGAGGAATAAGACACTGACCAAAACCACTGCCTTTCTTCACTTAGGATATTCTGCTAACAATGTTATATGAGAAAGAAACATGTGAAGTACTAGAATAAGAGCCTGAAATATGGAACATGAGATACAGTGTCAATAAGGGAACGTAGTACAAAGCTTTAACAAGACCCTGCCACATCTCTGTACTGCGATTGTAGCACTTCAGGGGTAGGCAGTCAGGTGTTACCCTGCAGGAATCCAAATTCTACTCTGAGTCCCTGACCTGCTTTAACAACTTTGTCCCGAATTATCGACCATTATAATACTAAAAGGAAGACAGTAGTCTTATTTACTTAAATTGCCAGATAGAACAAGTTTCTCTCTTTCCCAAGAAAATTACAATAAAAGGAAACTCGGTAAGTACCAGGTCCTGGATATTTGCACCTCTTTATAGCTACATGTTCTAGTACTGCAATGTTCCTTCCAGTGTGCTTCAGTTAAAAGATAAGATGGGGCAGAAGAGTCCTCTGTAGGAGGACACATAGGAGAATAATGCTGCTTCCTAGTTCTTTGATGGTTTATGTGGAAGATCTTGGAATATAAACTTATTTTTTGCATTAAATTTTAATGCCTCTTTAAATAATGAGGGTCAGCCTTTCAGTCTGTAATCCAACCAGGAAAAGAGTCTCTAACACAAAAAAATTATAGGTGATTCTGAATCAAAAGTACACCATGGTACAGCACATCACTGCCTTTCTAACATGGTCATCTTTACAAACAAAAAATATTTCAGAAAAGAAAAACTGGTTTCAAAAAAGGCTGAATATATCTAAGAAATACCTTGCTGCAATCTGATGTGGGTTTTTTGTGCAGCTAACTGGGAACGTGGTCACAAAGTACATTACTTGCAAATGTATACCTTTGTGATCACATAAATACAAAGCTTTATTTAAGTATTTAAAGATTTATTCAAAACCATATTTTAACCACATTAACTAGCTAATGTTTTCATAGGCATTCCTAAATCATGGTTCAAGTGGTGAAGAGCTTAAATAAGTGAACTTATGCTACAAAATTGATTCAAATTAACAGAATGAAGGACTAAAATTAGCAACTTAAAATAAGACATTGACCTTCCATTTATTCTAGTAGATTGGAACAAAGTGAGAAAATACCTCATTTGATTCTAATGCTGACATCTGTGTAGTGATGACTATGGCCTATGATTCATATTGATGGTAATGCTGGTAAGGGACCAAAACCTCTTTCCTCACAATGTTGCCACCAGCATTTCACTGCCTTATTTTGTGGAAACCATTAGGGTTTAAATGCAACTGCACAGACCAGTTAAACCTTGGCATTTGTTATATCTGGATAAGTCTTTGGTTCCTCCGTTAATCTTCCATTAAAGAAGCAGAAAACCCTTTGGCTCTTCAGCTAAGAACAATTGCTGGAAATAGAATTGTGCCTTCAATCAATTCTCTATCTGCTGCTTTTGTATTCTGCTATAACAAGAGGCAGCTTTTCATGTGCACTGCCACATTGCTTTTACTAGCATTGCCTGTTGGTGGTGGTATTGTTTTGTTACCAGGATTGCTTTAATACTGTTAATGTCAGTAACAAAAGCATTAATTAGCTTATATTATTGCAGTAGCTCAGCAGAAGTCAGCGATATATGATAGAAATAAACAGTGTAGGCCCCTGAGCTACTCTAATGGTAAAAGTGTCCTTCTGATATTAAACACTGTATACTGAAACCTTGCACAGACTTGCTACATCAAAATTAACTTCACATTTCATGAATGCTGTACTTCTGTACATTACCTGGCAGAGTTCAGGTAGCAACAGGTAGGACTCCCTTACTGCTGCCTAAACACCATCAGTTTTAAAAGTACTATGCAAGGTTCATCTGAAGTAAAATCTACTTAACAAGGATTCCAAACACAGCTGTTAACTCTAAGCCACTTGAAATGTGTAATGAGGCTCTATGCCTCCTTAGAAATGTCATTAACTCTTTTCTTTCCTGTTCTGTCCACACATTAACTTGATGACAAAAACTAACCTCAGATTCACTCTTGAAACTGGATTTGTTTTTACTTTGTTGATTTGTTTTTACTTTGTTTCTCCAAACTTGCATCAAGCCTTCTTTTACACTTCCCCTCCAACCCCCACCCCCTCTCAGTTCATGAACAAAGTTTTGCTTAGTTGCAGCTTACGTTTGATATGGACTTGACACCACAGTACCGTATGTTCATATGAACATCTGATAACCTGTGAAACAGAAATCACATCTCCCAGTTTGTAAAGCATTAGCTACCTTCTCTCATATTTGCAGAGACTAAACATATCACTTGCTTAAAAAGGAAAAGTTAAAATCCCTCTTTATTACCCTCATCTGTCCCTCCAGATCTATCTGAAGCCAAGTATCAGGGGGTCTACATATGCTAGCCCTCTTTTGTGTATAAACCAAAAAGCCTTTCCAATTCCCCTCTGACCCCCAGAAGAAACATGCACTTCAAGCTGTGAGCTAGGCCAGGCCAGTGTATTTGAGGTTCTGCTACAGAATAAACAGTCGTATCTTGCTCTTGTGAGAGTAAGAGCTTCAGGACACGTTTCCAATACAGATCATCTATAGGGGCAACAAGCTTCTTCATTTGGGCAAATGAATGATACCAGGATGCAAAGCTGAACACTTGAGAGAGCAGATTGAGAGGTGTGGAACACAAAGAAGAAATAATCAATGACATACTGTATTGTTTCAGACATGGAGGGATTCTTTTGCTGATCTGTGTTCATTCAAGTTGGAGCTGTGCCCGCAGCCAGCCTGCTCGCAGCTGTGGGCAGGGGCTGCAGCTCTGATGCATGAGAGCAAAGGTGGTCAGGACACAAGATGGCTTGGAAAGATTCAGAGGAAGAAACTGACTGCATCATTTCTTTTCTATTTTAATGACATGTATTATGTTTTCAACAAACTACCTTGTGCAATACAAATGTATCATTTAGGGATGAGCACTCTGTTTCTGCAAAGTCTATGAGTTGCTGAGTAATAGACATACATCTCTTACAGCAGAAAACTCATCCAAAAATATAAGCTGACATTTATTTTTTCCAACAAAATTTAGCTTGGTTAATTCCCACAGGAACTCACAATATCCGTGTTTCTAATATTACTGCTTTAAATGTGCGTGCATTGTTGTTCTCGATATACCAAAAATTTTAATAGAAATGTTAATGCAAGCCTTGCAGAAAATGTGGCTGTATTTATTAAAAACTCTAATTGTAGTGAAATGCAGGGGAAAAAACCGTCTGTTCTGCAACTTACTGAAATTTTTATGTGTTGTTTATATGCTCTATTTACATTAAAAGACAACTAAATTATTTTACTGTTTATAAATATGGAAAATCTCAGCCATATGAGATAGAGTGCAAAAGATATAGGACTACCTTGTTTGGAGCTGCCCTGTAGTAACTTCTAAAAATTGGAGGCTGACCTAGTGGTATTTATTGTACAAATAAGTAGATTGGATTTATTTAACTAAGAAGACATATGAGAAAACAAAACCAAACCTCAACCACAACAACAAACCCGGCAGCTGAAGGTAGGTCTGTAGTCAGGAACTAAAAAAGCTTTTGAAGATCATACACTCATGCTCACAGATGGATGTTTTGGTGCATTTTGCATTTACTCTCTTCTTACTAAAGCAAAGGAGAAGCAGTGAATCCCAGGGCTGCTGCATGCAGCGCTGCAGCTCTTGCCAGCATCAACTGGAAGCACAGGGAATGTTACTTCCCTCAGAGCAAGCACTTGGAGAAAAATGAATGAGGCAGGTGGTGAGTCTTTCTGAGAAGGCCTAGAATGCCAGGCAGTGCAACAGGGAGTAATTGCCTTGTCCAGGAGACAGGACAAAGCCTGTTTGCTGTTTTTAGCAGGGCTGAATGAGATTTTGAAGTATTTTGCTTCCACATGCATGCTTAATTAAGGCCAGCTGAACCTTTGAAAATATAAGAGTTTTTAAATTGGAAGTAAACATTTTCAGGTGACTTTTGAAAGTGAATTACCAGATAAGTATGACCTGATCACTAGATTCTACTTTGATAGTGGCCTTAATCAATTAGGGAGTAATTTTTTTCTTCTCAACTCAGACATGAAATATGAATAGAGACTACAGAAAAAAAATTTTAATTATTATAAAAGCCTCCTTGAAGAATTATGGTTTATTGTTTGATCATCACTTAATTTCGATTCCTGTTATTGAATAGAAATAGCGACTTGAAAGGCCATGAGAAATTACTTGTGCTTAATACTTCCATGATTTGTAAGGTTATAAAGTGAGATCCTTTTTACCAAATATGGACCATGCATGGAGGTAGACTGGACCCTACAAAAAAGGCAAGAATTAAATACTTTTGTACAAGACTATTTTTGCTTTAACAGTCACAAGCAGAATGACTAGTATGTTACTCCTCACAGTTATAATACACACTGGACTAGAATTGGGAGAGATATACTTTCATCTTTCTGGAAACAGCTCAAGATTTCAAAATGTTCTCTCTACACTTGATTTTTTTTTGGTTTTAAGTGTACTGAGAATAAAAAAATAATCAATAACCACTAAAAAGTTAGCTCTGGTGCATTGAGTCAACACATTTGTTGCTGAAAACTACTCTGCTACTGCCACTGCTGACCATTTACATGACATCTTTAATTATGAAAAAGTTGAGCTGTTTGAAAGTACTACTGCATTCAAAAGAAACACTCCTCAAGACATGTATCTTTTGGGGGTTTTTAACCACTGCAGCCAGCTTCTGAGAACAACACTACTAAGTGGAAGTGAAAAAAAGACCTTGCTTCCTAAATCTTAGCTGAGTTAATGAAAATTAAATTAATTATTTTATTGTTGTTCAACTTTGCACCCTGATAACATCTGCTATTTTCAAATCCATTTCCTCCTCTTGTTCAGCGTGTGTGTAATTTTTTTTTCTTGTTTAAAGCAATTTGTCAGAGTTTGGGGGACGGGCTTAACTTGGAAATCTTGTAGCAGGAACTCAAAATTTAGTGATGTAAGCCAGAAATAGAAATGCCATAGCCACCGAAGAGAAGACATGCGGCATTGCTTACTTAAAGCCCCATCCTGTCCCCCCAAGGACAATTGCTGCTACCAGGATGGCACCAGCGATGGAGCCTATTATAAGATTGGTGGCACTAGGACCTGTGATAAAGGATTAGGGTAAGACACACATAAGAACCAACGACTTTATTCACATCATGTGAAGCATCTGAAGGGTAGCCAAACAATTCAAGGAATATAGACAGCACACAAGGTGATGCCCCTAGACAATCTCAACAAGCCCAACTTAACTTACTCTTCTTTAAAAATAGGAATGAACAAAGCTGTTGGTCTCTGTTGGTCTATGCTGACTTCTACTAAAGATAAAAATCTAATATTAGACAGTGAATTCCATTGTAACTTACTCTGTTATCTGGTGAATGAACAGTCAGTTGAGGACACTAAGATATTTGTGAATAATCCCTTAACTTAAGAAGTATGAATGCTCTATGTTTTAAGACTGCAGCAAATTAGAAAGGAAAAAAAAAATCAAAAAGTCCTGTCTTTTTTCATGGAGCTTCTGAAAGGTGTAGATTTTTTAATTTGAGCTGAGAGCATTCAGCACCACTTGCTAATCATAATCCAGACTCCCTACAGTTACATCAATGCTAAATTTACAAACAATTGTTTGACAAAAGCAAAGGATTATATAATAGGGAACAAACATTTAAATAAAAGCTGTATTCCTCCTAAGCTTTCCAAACATCAAAGCATTTCTTCATCATCCTCAAGAAGGTACTAAACAACAAAGTGGGGAAGGGTGGAGCAGGAAAAAAGAGCAACAAAAAGAAGCTGCACAAAATATGTTTGTGCAATTTTCTGAAGAGGGCAAGAGAACACCTAAATAAGATATTAATAATTGACCCTTAAGTGCTCTACTTACATAGGGCAGAGGAAAACTGATTATAAGATTGAGTAACATTTTAATTGCTCTGTACTGAAACCTCCTATCATGCAGTTTTTGATGTAAAGCTAGTTGCATCTGAACTCAAGGCAAAATGAAACCAACTCAACAGTTCTTCTGCAGCATATTGTACACTTTTTGTTTAAACATTTAGGTTTTCAGGAACAGCCTTCAGAAACAGTTCTTACCTCCTATCTCAGTCTCCCCAAATGAACACTTCTACACAGCAATGGAAATTTTCCTAATTAATTATTCTGAAACTGAGTTTGGAAAACTGTCAGACAGCTAACATAAGGAAGAAAGGAGCAGCCAGAGATCAGCAAAGAAAGAGCAAGGGCAGCTGCAACAACTGAAAGTTTTAAGCTGTTAGGTCGGTATCACAAAACCTCCTGCCCAGTCCCACACACCACAATAAGCACATGTCGTAAGTTCTAAAATTTACTGCAGCAACCTAACTTCATTGCAGCCATTACATGTTTCCCACATCAGTGCTTCTGGAGATCTGATTAGCTAAAAGAAATTGCTTCCTGCAGTTCCTATACAAAGAATATTCAGGAAAACGAACAAAATACTTGGACTGAAATGAAATATAGTGAGCTTTACAGATAAGCAGTGCACAAATTTGATGAAGAAAATCAAATGGTAATTTTTCACAATTTGGAAGAATGTATCTTATTTGGACTTACCTTTAAAGTCACAACTGATTCAAATCAACAGGAGTGAGCATGGTGCAGGGTAAATGCCATTCCACAGGCATTATAATCCCAACTAAGGCTTGCTTGCAACAGCAGTCTAATGAGCCTAATGAGCTACTGTGTCTAACTGAGATCTAGGGTTTACTCTGGATTTTATCAAACGATTTCACACAACAAAAGACTGAAACCACAGCAAGTACTTTATGTGTAATAGATTTTATAAGCCTTGAATTCTAAAAAATTCTAAAGCTGATTTCTTTCTAGCCATAGAATGCTATCTTCCCACAAAGAGGTACAAAGATTAACTGATAGTAACATAGTCATAACTTAACTTAGATAAAGAAGTGTCAAATCACCACTTTTTACATCCCTCCTCCTCACTATGTTTCCTGGTTGTTAAATGTCAAGGGGTGTGGAGGGAGAGGGTGTGCATCCATTTCATAGCGCACATCCATTCACCAAACAGCAGTTTGTTCTTTCAATACAGAAAATCAATATTGG